ATAATTGTCTATTTTGTCAGCCAGCCCAGAGCTAACCTTTAACAGAACTATCCACTTGTTGATTAACGCAACTATTTTCTGTGTGTTAAATGCAGCAACCTCTTTGACAGTCTGTTGAATAAGAAAGTCTAGTAATAAGGAAATATCCATTACTATGCTCTGTTCTTTAAACATAAGCATGCATTATTAAGTCAAGCTGAACATATAGCTTATAAAACATTTAAAAGACTGTACTTGCCTTTTTAATATGAAAACTAAAGGCATAAGCCAAATGTATGGCCAAGCCTCCCTCTCCTCTTCTAGATCATGTCCCAGCCTGCATTTTGCTTTAGTTTTACCTTGTTCCTCTAGCAAGAAATAGCTTTTATTACATCCTATAATTAGAGGTGCACCGAAATGGAAATTTTAGAAACGAAACCGAAATAAAAATAAATTGTCAAACCGATACCGAAAATGTTTTTTATTTTAATTTTTTAAAATATTTTATTTTTATATTCATTTTTTATTAAATATTTTTATTTTTTACATTACTTTTAGGGGCTTCGGGGAAATATTAGGGGTCTGAACAGACCCCTGATATTTCCCTTTTAAAATGGAAAAAGAGATTGAGAACACTGAGTCCCCTGATTTTTCTGTGTCCCCTGTTATCAATGAACAGGAATCATCTATACTGAGTGTTCCTGTTCATTGATAACATGAGGACAGAGTATGTTTACTATAACTGCAACTATGAATGTACAGGAGGTGATGTAGATCACTTCCCATTCATTCATAATTGAGGATATAGTTAACATACCATATCCTCAATTATATACAATACACTCAGTGATCACTGATCGCTGAGTGTGTGTACCTTGCTCTTCTCTCTGACACGCTGTCACAGGAGGCTGATCGAGCGGTGTAGGGAGGAGAGCCCAGCCTCCTGTGACAGCGCAGCCTGTCTCCGCCCCCACACCGCTCTGCAGGACTGTGATAGGCTGCTGAACGGTGTGGGAGGAGAGACGCCGGCCGCTCACAGCGCTCTCCTCTCGCAGTGCTCGGCAGGCTGCCACACTTTCTCTCCTCCCGCTGGGACATAGAGCAGCACCCAGCGGGGAGGAAAGAAAGCAGGGATGTGCCGATGTATGGGCAGGAAAATTGCACTTTCGGCATTTAAGGGGGATAAGCAGGGTTCCATGTGTTCACTCCTATTGATGTAAACAAGCCCCCCAGAAATGCATCACCCTAGAACTCTTACTGTAAACACTGTGTGGGAAGACTCATTGGAGTCAAGGCGCACCAGCATTGTTTTGCTGGGGAAAAAAAAAATCAGTGCATGCATGTGGGGAAGGAAACAGGGCCACGAGACAGGTGGAGTTTTAAAATCCAGCAGGGGAGAACTCAGACAGTGCTGATTACACAGCTTAGGATTTCACTGCAGCAGAGGCAATGTTGTCAGCTCACTGAAGGAAGTTGGGTGCTCACTGGATTTCTGGCAGGATCACAATGTACTTCTCTCCCGTTCATTGAAGGAAACAGGGCAACAGATCGTAGATCCTGTATGGTAGGGTATATCGCCACCTGCAGGAGTAGGACGCTAGGCACATAACAAAAAGACAAAAAACAGCCTAGGGGCGGCCCCTGCTGGTGGCCCAACCCCCCACCTGCTGACAAGTCTCCAGTTTTTTGCCTAGCGTCAGGAGTAAGGAGCTAAAATTTTTCGATGGGCCCGGGGGGTGGTCCCTACGCCGGGAGTTTTTTCATCCACTCTGTCTTCGCTGGGGGAAACCAGATGTGGACCTTCTGGCGTCTCGTCTCAACGGAGAGGTGGAGAGGTTCGTGGCCCGGGGGCTGGATCCCTGGGCGTTGCCGGGGATGCCCTGGTGGCTCCTTAGGTGCCTTACGGTCCGATACATATTGAGCAGAGCTATGGCTGGTTAGCATAGTGCACTATAAACCTTTCAAATTAGACATCTTGGTTTTATCACTGAGCCATTCCTCCATGAAAAAAGATGTGTCTCCAAAAAATGCAAAGCAGTCGGTAATTAAAGTGCATATTGTAAATGCATTATACATAAGAGAAACATTAACTTAAACCTAAAGTTACCTCATTCCACTTCATGGGTGTAGCAGTTCTAAGATAGCCCTAATCAACCCGTACCAGGTTTTCTGTACTTTTTAAAGGGATAAAACGGGGAAGTCTTCATGTATTGCAGACATTTACTGCATGTTTTTTTTTTTGGTGCTTTTGCCAAGACTTTCACTTAAATGGGCAAACTACAGACGGAAGACAATAGTTGGCTATAAATAAACCATAAGGATGGCTGCAAACCCTTGTATGCGGTTTATTTTTTAATGTACTGTTTATCAGAAAACCTGGTTGGTACAGTAATGATGAATTGCCATTTGTTTGATGGTGTGTTTCTCACAGGAGGTGACACATTACCTGGTGAAGTGGTGCTCGCTGTCCTATGAAGAAAGCACTTGGGAGCTGGAGGAAGATGTTGATCCTGGCAAAATCAAAGAATTTGAAGTGCTTCAAGTTGTGCCTGAGCACACTGTCACAGTAAGTGTAATGTCTCCCTGTCTCATTTCCTTGTGCAGTCCTTACTGCAAATGCAAGCTACACATATCTAGAGACCTTTGTTTCAGAAGGCCAAATAAGATGTGTTTTTTTTCCCAGTAAGATATTAAGGCAAAAAGGTTCTCAGGCCCCATTCACACTTGTGATATTGCAAATCGCACGTTTGTCATTTGCGTGATAGTGCACGATTTTCCGCGCGATATCGCGCATTGGGCTGAGTACAATCGCACGACATCCGCACCAAAAAAGGGTCCTGCACCAGCGACGAGCTACAGGCGACATGGAGCTGTAAATGGGAACAGCTCCGTTGACATGCATTGGACTTAGTACACAGAAAGGAGCGGAAATATGCGCGATTTTGCAGCGTAAATTCACGCGATAAACCGCTCAGTGTGAATGGGGCCTTAGAGTTTTTAGAATCAGCCCATCCAATACAATGTTTCTTTATCATCCATTCAGGGACACAGGAGTTAAGATACAGTCAGGTTATACTTCTGCCTACAGGAACAGTGGCAAATAAAATAAAATCATAGACTAACCCAAGGTAACCCCTCCTCTATACTCCGCATTACTCACTTTTTTTTTTGCAAGTGTCTTAGAAGGATAGAAGTCTTATTCAGCTTTTAAGAAAAGTCTAACCAATTTTTTTTTTTTTCCTTTTGATTGACTTTTGGATTCTTTTTTATTACTACATTGCTGTGTGAGCTGGTCTCTGCATGGCAGCGATCTGGATGGGTTTGACTTCGGATGGCCATATCTAGACCTGCTGAAATGTGACCTTAAGGCACAGGCTTCTGCTGGTTGTGCTTTCCAGACATCACGTACTGGTATAAGGTAGCTGCGAAGCACTTTCCAGTTCCAGAGCCATGATATTACCTCAGCACTTGCCCTGTCTCTGAAGACTCACTCTGTTGAGTAGGCTGATCAGACGCATAACTGTTTGGAAGGCATCTACTCGGTATCCTCTGATCCGTCTGGAATCCAGTGACCCTTTTAATTTATAGGGTTTACATCACTGGAGTCTCCCTCAGGCCAAGGTGAGGCTGAGTCCCTTATCCTGTCACCAGAAGCCTCTATTGCAGTCACTGGAAAGTTTGTGGTCAAATTCATTCAGTTTCTTGTGGATACTGACTCCAGATGTTTTAGGTGCTCTCCCGCTCCATCACCTGCAGAATCTGTCACTGACCTTCCCAAGGCCTTAAAACAGGCTGGGACACCGGTCACTGTGACCATCTCTGACTCCCAGGGGTCTAGCTCTGAAGAGACTGTTTTAGAGGCAGCACAGTCTCTCACAGCAACATTTGGAAAATAAGGGGTCTTTTTGGCCCCATTGATGCAGTACACGCTACCCTGCATTTGGAGGATTATCCTGCTGTCTCCAACCTTGGGTCTTTCTGAGCTCTTACAGCTGAAAAAAAAATCATTTAAAAAATAAGTACACCACAAGAAAAATTGTTGACTTTGTAATCGTATTTGATCAGGCAAACAGGTTACCTTTTGCTTACAGGTAAAGGTGATATACCTGAGCAAATACTATGAAATGTTGTCCGGACACCATTCAGCTTAAGAATATCATCTTTATTGACGTTCTTGCATTCTTAACGTGAAAAATGCAACGTTTTGGAACCACGCAGGGTTCCTTCATCAGGCTTTCACGCTTTGCCTGATGAATGAACCCTGGGTGGTTCCGAAGCGTTTCATTTTGTCACATTATGCTGCAAGAATGTCAATTAGGATGATTTTCTTAAGCTGAATAGTGTTCGGACAACATATTTCATAGCGTATGCTGTAGTGCCATCCACCTGTTGTTTCAGCACCCAAGGGATTTACAAGAAGGGACTTCTAGGGATATTACTATTATACCTGAGCAAATGGCACATAATATTGACATGGTTTATCCATCCTCCTTTATCTAAATCTAAAATTCTAAAGCGAAAATGCAGCTTTGTCACCTGTTAATTATGTATTTAAATTATTAAAAACTTGGCCAGAGATTTTTTTGTTGTTGTAATTTTTAATGAACTATTGTGTTTCCACAGGAGCGACCGCCTTCTGATTTGTGGAAGAAGCTGGAGTGTTCTCGCACATATAAAAATAACAACGAGCTAAGGGAATACCAGTTGGAAGGCATGAACTGGCTGCTCTTCAATTGGTACAACAGGTGAGACCGAGTGCATCAGATTGGTGTGGCTTGTGTATGGGGGTTGAATATGGATTGTTAACTGTTAAGCAGGATTTCAATTAAAAATGGTTTCAGTTTTTGAGTAAAGAGGAGTAGGATTCGATCCCCCAACCCCTATCCTTGATACTAGTAGTAGCAAGTTCTCTCCACTATGATTCTGCTGTGAGCTGAGCTTGCTGGTCCCTGGCTTCTAAAAATAAAGGAGATGGGACAACAGTCTGTTTTCAGGCTTCATTATTGGCTGGTGTTTTAAGTCTCATGTTTCAGACGATAGAAGAGGTACTTAGGCAGCTCAACAAATACTATGTGGGCCTGCAGGAGTTGAAAGTTTTGCTCTCTTGCACTGCTGGCATCTGACACTTCTGTGTGTGTCAGATACCTTGTCCCTAGATGGGTGCAGTGTTTTCTTCACAGCAGCTACTATGGTACTTCAGTAAATGGTAGACATAACAGCCGTCAGGAGGAACCATAGCACCCAGTGGGGGACCAGGTATCCTACACCCCTTTAAGTGTTGGATGCCAGTGTCAACTATAGCTATTCAAGGGAGTGACGATCACTTACCATTTGGCAGAAAGGAAAGTTATAAACAAGCAGCCTGTAAAAGAACATAAATTGTAACCTTGTAGAAATAGGGTCACTTTATTATTTTGATGTTTTGTAGTGTGAATGCTACTAATGGTAATGACTGCTTATTTACATTGTAGAAAGAACTGTATCCTGGCAGATGAGATGGGTCTTGGTAAAACCATTCAGTCAATCACTTTCCTCTCAGAGATTTTTTTCATGGGCATCCGTGGGCCTTTTCTGATTATTGCTCCGCTGTCCACCATCACCAACTGGGAGCGGGAATTTCGAACGTGGACCGAGATGAATACTGTGGTTTACCATGGGAGCCAAATCAGTCGGCAGATGATCCACCAGTATGAGATGTTCTACAGGGATGCTCAAGTGAGTCATTTTAAGTTGCTGTATCAATGCTACTGTCATGGAGGTCTTCAGTCGCTGTGGCTAGGGAGTACTCTTATCTTTATGAACACAGAGTCAGGGCTGTACGTTAATAAAGGGACTCCAGTTAAAGTTTTTTTTAACCTCTTTATATGGCAGCTTCATCATAACAAGGAGTAGTACACTGGCCTCCATCCCTTAATTACTTCCAGATTATAATAATGAAAAAGGCTGGGGGTATTTAAGCAGATCATTTTTTTTTTCTTCTTGCTTATTGTAGGACACAACAGGCATCTGTGATTATTAGCATGTCCCACAGATTTTACCGATGAACATTCTGTTTTGGCTGGGCAATGGCTTATTCGCATGCTGTCTTACTAGAGAACCCTGGCAGGGAGCTTTCCTGATAAGTTGCTGCACCCTTACAGCTAGGTTTTATACTGAGCAGTAGCATTGCCCTCTTTCTGTGCTGGATTCTTCATTGGTTTATCATGACTACGAAACTGGGTTACCTTTTGCTAGGGTCCTAGAGATGTTTCTAGTTGATCTAAGGGCATGATCAACTTTGGGTCCTCCAGCGCCCGATGCTGCTGCCATTGCGTAAACTGCAGTCCAACCCTTCCAAATACTTACCTCTGTTGTGGAACATGGTACCCTGGAGCTGAGTGGCTTCTAGTTTACTCCCTTTTTTGATTCTGGTGCAAAGCTGGTTTTGTGTGAGTCTGAGACACTGTTTGGCTGCCTCTGAGTGGTCCGCGCTGTTGTCTCACACACAACCTGGTTTTAAGATGGGGCTGAGAGACGAATTTGCAGCGGGTTAGTATTTACTTACTATTTGAATATAGATCAATTTTAACAACTTAGGTGATCAAAGCCCATCCAGTACTGAGTGTCAAGCACACTTGCCTTTTCAATAATGTGTAGTTATATTTTAAGCACATTTTCAAATTGTAGTAGTGTGTGTGTGTATGTATGTATGTATGTATGTATGTATGTATCTTTTTTTTTTAAACACTTTTACCTGTGAATAGGGAGGGCCAGTTCCAGGAATCTTCAAGTTCCATGTGGTCATCACAACTTTTGAAATGATCCTGGCGGACTGTCCAGAGCTGAAGAAAATCAGGTGGAGCTGTGTCATCATTGACGAGGCCCATCGGCTGAAGAACAGGAACTGCAAGCTCCTTGAAGGACTGAAACTTATGGCACTGGTGAGTGAAGGCAGTATTGGGTTGCGAAGTGGCTTTCTTTTTACACCATATGCCAGAGCATTGATTTTGTTTACAATTCAAAGTGCGGCTTAGAAAATGACTTAGCCTTGCGAGAACTTTTAGGTTGCAAGACGCGAGGGGGTTTCCCATGCACAAACGTTAACATATTGGTCTTCACTCCAGATTCACTCAGTGCCAGTCCTCTACTCTCATTCACTGAATTTGACTTGCGCTTTAGAACTGTGCCGGTACGTACAGTACAGATGCTCACACTGCAATTTCACCTGCAATTTGATCTCTGCTGGAAAACTCAGCTTATTGTATTATAAGTTATGCCATTCTTTTCTATATGTTGTAAGAAAGGTCAGACATATGCATGGGGAGCACCACTTGGCCCATTCAGGTTTTGGGGTTTGGTGGTGTATTCATTTGGGTTTCCTTATAAAATTGTATTCTTGTTGCAATAAGGGCATGCATTTTCTTTTTCCTGTCTGTTAGGAACAGAAGGTACTTCTCACTGGAACTCCCCTACAGAACTCGGTGGAAGAGTTGTACAGCCTGCTCAACTTCTTAGAACCAAATCAGTTCCCTTCTGAAAGCACTTTTCTGGAGGAGTTTGGAGACCTTAAAACTGAAGAACAAGTAAGAGGATCTCTCTAAGACTGCGATTTGATAATCGGAAAAGGGACTTGAAGAGTGATAGCAGAAGTAGAGCATAATCCTGATTTTGTAAAGAGCTGTGATGGTAAACTTTCTTTAGCTGGTTGCATATATGTTGATGTCATGTTGGCGAATCTGCTACTGGCATCACACTACTGTTTCACTTTACATAATGGATGCAAATCTCAAGATGGCCAGAACACGGCAACATTTTGATCGCTAGCAGATGAGCAGCAACAAAATGACATAGCACTGATTTGGTCAGCCAAACAGGAAGGTACATGGACTCTTCATAATTTTGTGACTGGCAATCTGTTGCCAGCGAATTAATCGTTAGTGGACATGGTCCATTGACTGAACTATCCTTGTTGGTTTGCACAGCAATAAATAACAAAGACATTAAGACAACTAAACCAAATGAAAACATTTCTTTAGGACAGTTGAACAGTTCGGCATGTACGGTGTATGAACATTTTTCTTTAGGGGGGGGG